GGACTTGCATTTGTGCCTTACGCAGGCGGTGCGTAGGCAGGGGCCGCCCAAAGGTCCCTGGAGGCCCGGGGCAGAATGCCACGTGGGCTCGACTTGTTCCATACCAACATAGGCCCTGATGTGGGCTCACCCTCTGTTGCGTGAGGCGCAGGGAACATTCCCCCTTTTGTCCCCCTCCCACGCCCCCCGCTCCACCTGTGAGCGGCCCTTGATGTCGTCGACTGTTAACAGAACCGCTTGCATTCCCTCACACATGGTTAAATGTGCGAACACATTTCGTTAAATCTTTATCTTTCGCCACCCAAAAAAATGTACTGATATTAAAAGGAGGCTTCAATGCCAACATTTGATATTTAATACGCTCTAACAAACTAAACTTCAGATAAATATTTAGTTTTAAAAATTACAGTTGACTAATTTCTAAATTGGTATACCATATATTGAACCCATTTTGAAGTATTTCATTTATTTATGTACAAAATTCACTCTTTCGACGCAAGCAAGCTTCAACGCCCGGCCAGGCCATTTTGGGGTACAATTCATGCCATCGGTCACCATCCAAAAAATACCGACAGCCAAGGCATCATAAACCCCCAGTCGCAGTGGCGATGACCAGCCACAGTGCTTACCCCGAACAACACAACATTCAACATTTAAAGAAGAAAAAAAAACACAGATAATATTAACTTAAACCACCGGAATTCCAACATTTGATCACAAGATATTCCCTTATTGGCCACGTGTGACTGTGACGCGTGAACGTTCACCACAGCACAACTTTGCGTGTAATGACGATGGTTTTCGACAAAAGGCCACCAATGCGTGCACCTTTTAAGCCCGTCGGTAATCACTGCAGCGCTCTCTCTCTCGAGAGAGAGGGGGGCTTAAATCTGAACATGTTAAGGAGCAGCACATTTTATCTTCCACTTGCACCGGGAGAAAGGGAGCAGCGAAGCAGGATGCGTTAGCGTTCCGGTACGTGAGGTTTATACTTGTCCATACTTCTTACGGCAAAAGCAGGGTGTGTGGGGGGGGGAAACATTGAGCACTGACGTAACTGGGGACATTGCCGAAACAAAACCACACATCAAAACAAACACGACAGACTTTACGAGATAAATGTGAGAAGTTGCAAATGTAAAGTAAAAAAATTAGAAGAATCAACATCAACTTTATTATATCTTTTTTTCATATTAAGGTTTCAGTGCAATGTTAAAATTCCCCAACAGCATATGCATATGATAAAAAAAAAATGAAATCCCAATGCGGACGGGAGATTGCACAATATGCTAAGGTATGTGAAATATCACAGCTTCTGTGACTGAGATGTTTAAGTGGCATGATCTTGGGTGGTTTATAAGACGACAATTCAGAAAGCAATCAATGCGAATATCTTTACAAGCTCACCAGATATGGATTTTTTTAAAAAATCAATGATATTCACAACGTCTTCAGAAGTGGGTATGTGTTCGTGCATCTGTTCTGAATCGACAACCACCGCCCCTCCCCCGGATTAAATGGAACAATACATGTGTTATCGCACGCCTCCGTTAAAAAAAAACCGACTCCCAGCTTGTTATTAGACAACTCTGCCTTGCGTCGTGTTGAATAAACGATTATATGGTTATAGGTCGACTCCAATATGCACTGTTCACGAGAAGTGCATATTGTCCATGACAATAGTAAAAAAAAAACACAATGCGAAAAAAAGCACTGTTTGGAAAGGGTGAAGAGGCATTGGAAGTAGACGGTGTGGAAAAATCCGACGAGCGTTGTGCCAGAACGGCCACGGTGAACTGGAAGACCATGCAATCATCGCTTACGTGAGCGGCCGCCCCCGCAAGCACTGGCACACGAGTCCGAGTACATGAACGCAGTTGCCCCAGACTGGTGTCGTGCGTAAAACACGCGTCCCTCCACTGCCTGCGTGCCCCCCCCCCCCCCCCCCCCCCCCCCCCCCCCATCCTTCTGCATGATGCGTTTTGACGGGATTTCTCCTCGTTTCAACGAGATGCCCGTGAACCATCCACGTACATCCCCACCCCCCCCCCCCACCTCGTGCCAACCGAGCGTGAGCGTCACTCGCAGGCCGCGGCCACGATCCACGTGCTACGTTCTCCTTCGTATGGCTTAGTACCGCGTCCCTTCAACTCAAAGACATGCCTGTCCCGCTCCCACCCCCCCCCCCCCCCCCCCCCCATATCGCTCACGCTCCGGTATCCAATTGAATGAACCGACACTGCAGAGCGTTCAATTGTCATTCGTCGCACCTACAGCTGCATCGTCTCCTCCTGCCTGCGTACAAGTCAACAATGTAGTATTTGTCAAAAAGGCCCGTTTGCACACGAAAAGCATCGAATCGTTATCTCCCTCGGGCTGTGCATTCCATTGCGCTGCGGTGTCGTGTGGATGCACGCTCCAGGCACAGCTGCACAGAGCGGCTCCTTCCAAAAACATTTGTACCCTCCTGACCCCGAACCACCGCAGCACGACAGCAGCGGGCTGCCCGGTCACTGCATTTCAAACAGGCGCAACGTCGCAACCTCTGTAGAAAGGTAAAACCGCCGACACTTCTTTGTTTTGGAGAGTTAAGTCTGACAAGTACGTACTACATCTATACAAACACACACACAGCAACTGTGTACACACACAAATATACATACGTAAAGAAATCTCCCGAATATCAGGCTGGCTATAAGGTTTGATATGGTGGGTATTTTTCACGACTATTCTCGTCTTCTTCAGGAGCAACACGAGGCGGCGGCGATTCGTACGATGAAAGCTGCCATTCGCGTCGCCTCTGCCTGTTTGACAACGTTGCCTGCGAGCGCCGGCTGCCCGGGGCACGCTTGGTGGGGGGCGGGGGAGGGGGGGAATCTTCTGTGCCGAGAACCCAGCACCTACGGGGGGGGGGGGCGGCACTTGGAGAGGCTGGCGCAGGCGTCCTGCGTTCGCTACCTCTCACGTCGGCGCTCTCGCACTCCCTCGCACGTGGGCGCGACGTGTTGTCGTGCGCACGTAGGCGAAAACGCGCGCGCGTTAAATCGCGAGCGCGCTACGGGGCGCGTGCCGACGGGGCCGCAAGCCACCGCGGGTAGGAAGCCTGCGCCCGTCCGTGTCTGCGCAGAGGGGTTGTGCTCGTCTCCCCCGAGGGAGGCTGCCGGGTGGATGGTATCGGCGAGGTGGGGCGGACGAGTATCACTGCGAAAGCGTTACGCCGGATAGTCGTCCTTCCCCCCCCCCCCCCCCCCCCCCCCCCGCGCCACCCGTGCCTAAGATTATCGCGGTTGGCTACGTCCGGCGCGAAAGAAGTTCAACGTGCTCCGTGATACGAACGCGACCTTCGGCGCCGGGCGGAAATGGGAGCCCGCTTCACCTCGCCGGCAACGAGAGAGAAATCCCTCGGCCAGAGTCATCCTCCGTCTCCCTGCGGGGGATTCGCGCGCGTGGGCAACGCTCTAAAGCGGAGTGGTGCAATCTGCCCCCGCAACCGGGGCCGCAGCAGACGTGCGCGCCGGACTCGCTTGCACGTGCGTCAATCGGAGGCGTGAGGCATGCCAAGCGAACAGAGCCAGTCGCCAGTCTGTGACCGTCTACGCCAGCGTCGGGGAGCGCGTGCTGCCGCGGTGTCAGGGTGAGCGCACTGGAGTTGCATCACAGGGGTCGCCGGTTCAGTTTGACCTCCCGGCGGAGGCGGTTCTTGAGTCGCCCCCCCCCCCACCCAGCAGTCGAAACGGGTGGACCACAGTTAGTGGAACGGCAGGTCACGTGTGGTAGGTGGCCAGTGTGGAACAGCAGACCGAGCACCCTCTCTGGAGGCGCTCTCGCGAGCTCCCTCCCCCCCCCTTCCATCAGCAATGAAGTGAGTAAATTAAATGACTGCACCTTCACCATCTTTTACAAAAAATGGAAGCAGTGCAAAATGAATGATTACCATCTGAACATGCACCCGCTAATTGTGTGTGCGTGCGTGTGTTGATGGCGAATATGCACGCACACACACGCGGATTGTGCGTACGTGTGCTCTCAGTTTACGTGCGACGGGCTGGGTCATGCACACCCTGCCCACAGACAAAGTAAGACGTTCATGTAGTGGGTGAGTTGAGGGCATGCGTGCACGATCGGGTACATTGTGTCCCTCGTAGTAAAACATTATAAAAACACTTGGCATGCGTTCACACCGTCAACGAGTTGAGCATGCCTTTGGGTAAATTGATCCTTAATGAAAACTCGCGCATTGCTTGTGCAAAGACGCACACGCGTGGGTGCGTGCGGTACACCAGTACGTCTCCTTTCCCCGTATGGATGCATATTCGTGTCAAAATTTTAGAGCCGAAATCGTGTCAAAAAAGCTACTGCTAGCTGGGGGTTTGGGGGCTGCCTTGGCCCACATCCTCGGGACGTTTGCGTGCACCGCTACGTGCTTTAGTTCAAAAGTAAAGCGTGCGGGTTCGTGCAGTCAGCTGCGTGGTGGCACAAAGCCACGCGCGCTTGCGCCGCGTGGCACAGCCCGCGTGCGCCGCGTGGCACAGCCCGCGTGCGCCGCGTGGCACAGCCCGCGTGCGCCGCGTGGCACAGCCCGCGTGCGCGCGAGCTGTGCACGTGTGTAGGTCAGGTACGCGCGCCGTAGTGATAACAACGATCCGTGATTCCTGCGACGTCGCTTCTCGTTTCCTTTCAAAAAGACAAAGCCGGGGCGCGATGCGAACGGAGCCGTCCGTTCCGATGCAGGACCGCCGGCCTTGCCGGGGGGGGGGGGGGGGGGGGGGCGGGGGGGGGGGGTAACGCGCCGTTTTGCCACGTCAACTGCAGCGACGCCGGCCGATTGTGAACACCACCCAAAGCGAAGCGGTTCTCGACTCTTCGAACACGACTCCCGCGTTTGTCCTTTTGGCTCCGCTTTTTTTTTATCCCCACGGCGAACGATAACTTTAATCCGCGGCACTCGAGGAAGGGGGGGCCCATTGCTTTCGGAAGACCGCCGCGTCACAATGAGGTCTCCTCTCTGGTCACGTCGGCCTTGCGCGAGGCGCGGTCGCGCGGACACCCCCCTCCCCCCAACCCCGCCCTCGAGGTCCGCACCGGTCGCCTCGCAGTGTCCGTGCCGCTCTACGGCGCCGCCGTCTTGCCGTTCTCCCTGTGCTTCGCCTTGAAGCGCTTGCTCAGCAGCCGCGAGAGCGTGTAGGTCTTGCGGTGCTTGGCCAGCACGTGGCTCAGCCCCGGGCCCAGCGTCTGCGTCTGCCCCGCAACCAGCGTGTGCCCCGGCCCCATGCTGGGCAGGTCGTTGTGGGACTGGCTCAGACCCGCGTCCTTTTTCTTCCTGTGCCGCCGACGGAAGAGTCCACCGTGCAGGAATCCGGCTGCAGAGGAGGAGGTGGTGGAGGAGGGGGGGGTGGAGAGCGGGATGTGATGTTAACTACCTCGCCTGGTATGCAGGAGGTCGTGGATACGATCCTGACCCTGACGCCTGTATCTTTGGAGTTTGCTTGTTCTCCCCGTGGTCTTGTGGATTTTTTTTCTCCGGGTTCCTCCGGTTTTTACCTCCAGATTTAGAAACGTGCAATGAGAGTATTTCACTGCTATAAATTTGCACGTGATAAGCCACTTCGTTAAGAGTTATCATTTGTTGCCAGGTCGCTTCTGAAAAAGAGCTCTAGAGCTGAGTGGAGGCCTTACCTGGTCAAATAAAAAGTTGTAATAGTTTATAGGGAGTGGGTAAACATAGCGAGCATTTACATCTGTCAGCTATTCCCTTGTGTACTGCTTTTTGTGTTTCATTTGTTGTCCTTCCTCACACCTTTTATTAGAATGGTTGGCTTCGTAAGGTGCGAAAAAAGTTCAACATACATGCATATACACATACGCGGCACCTATCCAAGAAAGAACTGGCCAGTAACAAGAGGGGAAACTAATCAACCATCCCAAGCAGGATCCCACGTGAAAAAATAGTTTCAACTCCACGAAGCTGTCCTGGATAAAAAACAAATGGATGTCAATAAAACTCCACTAATTCATGGCGCTATTACCCACAACTCCCGGTATCCGACCGATGAAAAGTACATACGCGTGTAACATCTGTTTCACAGTGGACGTTCGAAATACCTTGACATTCGAAAATGAGCAGGCCACCAAGCGCCAGCGACCATTTGCCAATTCAGAAAAAAACCCCTCAAATTCCCAACTGGGATTACAGGTAGCGGCAATCATCGCCCCGCTACTGGCAGACTCACGCCCCCATGTACTGCACAAAGACAGCAGTCACTACTGGGTCCCCTTGAGAATGTTTGACATGTGACACGCTCTGAGTTGCTGGGGCATTTAAGTGCCAGATAACTGCAAACATTATTAACAGTGTTATTCTGCCGCTGCTGCTCTAGGGAAGGGAGGCCGCACCCTTGTGCTCCTTGAGGCTGCCGGTCTCGAAGCCCACAGTGGAGCCGCGCTCCGAGTCGGCATCCGACATGGACGGCTGCCCTCCCCCAGCCACCGCCGCCGGAGAGGAGGACGCCGCCCCGATCGTCGCCGCCGCTGCCGCCGTTGCCGCGTCCAGCAACGAATCTCCCGTCGAGTTGGCGGCCGACGGGGATTGTGGGCCGCACAGCGCCAGCTGCTGTACCGACGACGGCAACGAGGAGAAGGAGGAGGTGGTGGCGGCGGGGTGGTGGTGGTAGTGGTGCGGAAGCGGAGAGGGCCCCGCGTCGTCGCCATCCATGTTCATGGAGTAGAGTTGCGAGAGGGCGGCCTCGTCCTGGATTAACGGCATCTGCGTGGGGAGGGGCAGGGCGGTGGGAGGGGCGGGTGCAAAGTCACCGCACACGCCGTATTCAATGAATGCCTTTATTATTATAGTTTTACATTAATTAATAAGTGAATGTGTTTTATGTTTTGTGTGTGTGTGTGTGCTGCCATAATAATAAGCAACACTGGACGCTTGGTTTGATTCCATCTCCAGTGGCGGCAGTTGAAACAACGGTGCGAGTTTCTTAAATCCGCACCCTCCCACTGCCTCTGGGCACCCACCGTGGTATAAACGGGTGCAACCGCGGTCAAGTCTATCGGCAGGTCCAGTACGGTGGGGTAAAGTGTGGGTATTCCCTCCTCTACCAAGACCATCTGGGCCAGTGTGGAAGGGTAGGCCCGGTAGCCTCTCGAGGGGATCTCCACCGCTATTATCGTCGAGGCCCTTTCCACAAGCAGCGGCGTGAACAAGCAACTGGAAGGCAGTGCCGTCTCACGTCTCACATGTTTGCTGGCATATTCCCGTGCTTTCCTTCCCTCCAATCAAATCGTGTGTGCATTTGATACACGCGCTATTCTTACATCGCAAGGCTGTCATGAAGGCGCTAAGTTTCACAGACACGGTCCGTGCGGTAGTTTTGCGGTCGGGGGCGATGATTGCTGAACGTTTATGTTTACCCAAGAGCGTAACTTTTGAAATTTTAAACAAATCTGCACGACCCGTGACGCCGGCACAAATGACCTCCTGCTTAAACGAATCGCGTCATGGCATTTTCAACGTCCACCACGAAGCAGGCAGGCAGCTTTGTGCCAGAAAGGTGCCATGTGTTTAAGCATAAAAATGTAACGGACATCAACTTGACTTTTAACACACCCCACAGTGTTAACGAGGGTGGACCATGTGGCTCGATCCCCTACCCTCGGCGACGGGCAGCAAACTCGCGCTCCATGGCCTCGGTGGCGAGATGTTAACTACCTCGCCTGGAATACAGGAGGTCGTGGGTTCAATCCCGACCCTGCCACCTGTATATTCGGAATTTGCGTGTCTCTCTCCCCGTGGTCGTGTGGAATTTTCTCCGGGTTTCCGGTTCAGAATGAACATCGTGCGTTCAGAGTATTCGACCGCTGTAACTTTACACGCGATGGAGCCACTCCGATGAGCTGTCATTTGTGATAGCCAGATCACTTCTGAAAAAGAGCTGTACAAAATAAAAACAGTTTTAGTTTCGATTTAAAGCTTTCGTGACTGCAGGGATTCGTATTCTTGGTTCTTTCGTGACTTCACCGAAAGAACCAAGAATATAGTTTTAGTTTCGTTTCACTCCACCGCCGCTGCCGGAGCACGTCACGTGGCTCGCACCGCACCGCCCCCCTCCCACCCCGCCCCCCCCCCCCCCGCGGTCACCTTGGACACGCCGGAGATAATGAGCGTGCTGCGCTTGGTGGGAGTCGCTTTGGTGTTCCGCAGCGCCGACTCCGTCAGCTGCCTGATGGCCGTCTCCGCCACGGCGTCCAGCCCGTTGTGCTGCAGCGCCACGTCTGGTCGGGTCGGCCGACAAGGTCAGAGGGTCATGGCCGCCCCCGCCCCCACCCCCCCGCCGGGTGGACAATCGTCACCGAGCGAGCATTAACGCGCAGCTCTGTTGTGGAGTCGTCGCAGATATCGACTCGGTTTGGATGGTTAAGGATATTTAGAAACTGAAATACACCTCGGGAAAAGAACTGCAAGTAGTCCAAAATTTGAGAAGAACAACACACGGTTGACCAGAATGACAACTATGAAGAGGGACGCAGGCCCAGAGATTTCAAGGGGAGGGATATTACTGGCGGCGGGTGTTCACGACGTCCACTACAACCAATCACATGTGACCTGGGGCTCAAGGCCCGAGTCAACGCTGAGACGCCGCACACCAAGGTGTGCAACTTCGCTCGAGCAAAGAGTTCCTCTTCCGGGTTCATATTCCAGGCTCGTTCCACGGCACGTCTGAACATCGAGCCTAAGGACCAGGTATGCGGGTGCCAGATCATTTATCCACCTCGATGATGATGATGAGAGTATAAGTAATATTTTTAAAAACTTTTTTTTAAACACGCTTTTATGAAATGTACTAGTAATGGCAGAACTCCACGACTCCAGGAAGTGGCCCCGAAGCTTGCCACAACGTAAAGGACCGTGGCCAATTACAGCCAATGTGAGTTTAGCGTGGACAATTAGACCCAAGCCGAAACATAAGATGTAAAAAATAATGTTTAAAAACATATATTTTTTTATTTTTAATAATAGAATATAGCATTGTCATCAGTATGACATAAGTATAACAAGTCTGCAGTCGATACCACATTGGGAAGCAGGTAAAAATTTAGTTACAAGATTTGAGGATACAACAACAGACAGAGTGAGTTAATAGAAAGCGTGTAAAAAGGAACAGGCTAATAACCACATGGGGCTCAGATGAAGACAAAAGCCACAAGTTTGGAGCAGGGCCCAGAATAAGGAGGCAAAGAGAAAGATCCCCTGTAGAGCCTCAACAGACTGTTTGAGACAAGTGCTGTTAGCGAGCACACTATGAAGGTCGGCATGGGACACGACGGGGTGAGTGGCCAGAACCACAGTCCGACTGCCTGTCTCCCTAGAGGCGATGTTTCCACACCGCACCAAGTGCTTATTTGAGGCTAAGCCAACCTAGATGAGGCCCAGGACCGGTTGAGACAATAGTCAATGGTGTTGGCCGTGAGCGGGAATCGAACTCCGGTCGCCGGGTTCTAAGCGCAGCGCGCTAACCGCGGCACCGCCGCTCCCCGCCCCCGATGCGCACGCGGGCACGCACATACGAATGCGCAGCAGCAAGGCTTCGAGATGCGGGTGGAGGCAGAAGAGGCAGGGGAACGAGATGAGCGCGTGGGGCGGGTGCGATGACAAGAGCACGAAGCGCAGTGGGGAGCAGCGAGGGAGCGGTGGGACGGACCTGTGCACGCAGCGGAAGCGGCGGTGGCGCCGCCTTGCGACTCCCCCGCCGGCACCTCCTCCTGCACGGTGCTCTTCTCCGTCACCGTGACCTTGACGGGCGAGCGAGCCGGCGAGTCTGCACACGCGTGCGCCCGAGGAGAGCCGACGCAAAACGGCGTGGTCGCTTGTCCCGTGCAGGCGCGACATAAACAGTGACGCGAGCCGGTTGGTGGTAAACACAAAGCAAACAAAGACAAGGATCAACCCCCCCCCCCCCCCCCCCCTTTATAGCCTGAACATGCTTTTGGTGCTGTTAGCATGTAGCATCTATGAAGCCTGGGCACGGCACGCGAGGGGAGGGTGGCCAGCACCGTACCTGACCACCTTTGTTTTCCGAGTGGCGACGTTGATACACTATATCGGGGACAAATTTTGAAGCCGTGTCGATCTAGGGAAGGCACACAGGACCGGTTCAGTATTGCGTCAGTGGTCTTAGCCGTGAGCGGGAATCGAACTGGGGTCGCCGGGTGGGTTCGCAATGCAGCGTGCTAACCGCTGCGCCACCGCTCCTCCAAGTGTCCGGTGAAAAACGCACACCTCTTCGGCCTCCCACCGAATCAACCGCTATATGGCCAATCTCGCCAGATCTCAAAAGCTAAGCTGGGTTTATAATGATTGAGTACTTGGGTGGCAGGCTACCGAGAAATTCCAGGGGCTGTAATATAGTAATAAAAATGTATAAAGCGCCCTTAAACAATCGTTCTCAGGGTTCCCAGATGGCCAGGAGATGGCAGCATAGCAACGGATCCTTAAATCTATGTGTGGGCAGCTTTGAGCATGAGCCCCTTATATGTGTGGGTTTTTATCCTTGTACTCCACTTTCCTTCCTGATTAATAGAAACATGTATGTGTGTGTTCACGTGGTGAAATCAAGGCAGAGGAGTGGCGATAACAACGATGCACAGAGCGCCAGACAGCTAGGAGACAGGAAGGTCGGTGCCATCCATCCGGCGGCAGCTGTTTTTCGTTGCTGCAGTGCTCGCAAGCGTGTGTGCGTGCGTGCGTGCGTGTGTGTGCGTGCGTGCGTGTGTGCGTGCGTGTGTGCGTGCGTGCGTGCGTGTGTGTGTGCGTGCGTGCGTTCACGCGTTGCTCCTCACCACTGGGCGTGCCGCGCCCCGCGCGCGTCTGCAGCGTCGTCACGGTGGTCACAACGGTGCCGTCCGCCATCACCGTGCGCTCCATCTCCACCTTCTTGCTGGGGGTGGCGGCCGGGCGAACCGACGCCGCCAGCGGCCCTGGGGAGCGTGCCTCCCCGCCCTCCTGGTAGCACAGCTGCCACACAAAGACAAAGATCCACGCCCCCCCCCATGTATAGCCTTCACAGACCGCTGGGGCAAGTGCTGTTGCTATGAAGGCCGGCACGGCATGCGAAGGGGATGTGGGTGGCCAGTACCACGCCCCGGCCGCCTTTGTCTCCCCAGTGGCGATAATAACACATCGCACCAGAAGTTCATTTCAGGCTGAGTCGATATAGGAGAAGCGCAGGACCGGTTCAGAGGATTCCTTACTCGTGTTAGCCATGAACGGGAATCGAACCCCGGTCACTGGATGCGTAGCGCAGCGCGCTAACCGCCACACCACCGCTCCGCACAGCTGCCACAAGGTTGCGAGTTCAAATCTTGGTTGTCTGATGTGTGATATTAGACATGCGTTCTATAGAGGGCGCTCTTGCCTCTGGGTTTGATTGACTTGAATGCGCTCGCGTGGTGCCTTAAGACTTGGGGAGTGCGTTACCGTAAGGTGATAAGGTCTTTTAAAAGTTAATAATCATGTTGAGGCCGGGAAGACTTGGTCAAAACTGTAAACCAGGTGCAAGGTCAAAACCACTGGCTCAAAAGAAGGGGATTTCTGGTAGTTTACAGGAGGTCTCAAAGTGGCAATGCAAGCTGCTGTAAGAGCCGCTGTGCTATAGCGCCCCCCCAACCGCTGCCCTCCCCCCATCACCCCACCCACCGTCCAACAAGGACAACTATGGTTACTGTGCCTCTACGTCAACACAAAAAAAACATTAAACTGATTCACTGTATTTTTTAAATCCCATTTTGAGGTCTCAAGGGAGTGAAAGGGGAGGGGATCAACACGATCCATCCCCCCATGGATCCATCACTGGCAACGTGGCGCCAATGTTCCTCATTAGCTGCCAACATTTCTCCTGCACAGTATCTATGGTGCAGCCTGCGCCGCCCACTGAAAGGCTTTGTGACACCCTACGGTAGTGGTGGTGGGGGGGAGATTCACGTCCTACGGATTGGTGACTTCTACTAGAGTGCAAGCATTATTGTGCTGGTCAGAGTAACGTTACATCATTGGGTTGGAGGCCTCAAGCCACTTCCGTTTGGTTAAATTTCCCACCGGGCTCCGGCGTGGTTACAGCCACGCCGTCGCTATTCTGTCCGACGCGGATTAATTAAATAGAGAGCGTGCGGCAAGTAAGCGGCACACGTGGCAAGCAAGCTGGGTGGCTCTGAACAGCGCATGTGTGTATACTGTAGATACGAATATTCATAACACAGCTATGAAGTACATTCAGCATGAGTAGGTCATATAACACAATCAACTACCAATCACAGGTATGCTTATATCATAATTGGAGGTGTCACAATTAAGTGATCTGTCGATTCATTTTTAAATTTCGATTGAAAGCTTTCGTTACTGCAGGGATTCATCTTCTTGGTTCTTTCGGTAAAGGCATGTAGAATGGAAATAAAATAATACAAATAAAACATAATTCGTACCTAAAAGACGCTGCGAAACTTAGCAGCGTTCATTGAAGCGCTGTCGTCCCGACAGTTCTGTTCCTTCACCTGAAGAAGGCTACTTGTGTTGTGGCCGAAACGTCGTGAGAATTTTATTTTATTGTTTTATTTGTATTATTTCATTTCCATTTTGTCGATTCATGTTTAAGCTCATGATGCTCGCGCCCTATCAAGCGAGTAAGAATCGATAGCTTTCAAGTCGCATGTTTTGGAGTGGTGGGACTGCGGTGGGTGCATCGTGCTTTGAACCCAGAGCCCCGAGTTCTATTCCTGGCCACGGCTAACATTAGTGAACCGGCCTTGAGTCCCTCCCTTTCACAATAGTCACACTGATCAGCGTGGTGAAATATGGTTAAGCGACCCCCGTCACCGACACGGCAAAAAACGAAACTACTTTTATTTTTGCCAGGTAAGACCCACTGAGCTATATAGCTCTTTTTCAGAAGCGACCTGGCCATAAATGATAGCCCAATTAAGTGGCTTATCATGTGTAAATGTATAGCAGCCAAATATTCTAAAACACATGTTGATTCTAAATGTGGAGGGAAAAACCGGAGGACCTAGAGAAAAAGCCACACGACCACGGGGGGGGGGGGGACACAGAGACACGCAAACTCCAAACATACAGGCATCAGGGTTGGGATCGAACCCAAAACCTCCTGCACACCAGGCGAGGTAGCTAACATCTCACCACTGTAGTACCAAGCGTATTGACAAAGGGCTGTACAACTCTGTGTTGGGTCCACACGACCCCCCCCTCCCGATCCAGCCACGAAAGGCAGCGACATTAATCACGGTGTAATTTGTTTTTTTATCAATTATTGTACAGAATCACGACCCTGAATCGGGAAAATACATACAAGGCGGCTGAAGTGTTACATCCACAAACTGCTCAAGGGGGGCGGTAAAGTATGTCGTGAAGGGCTGGATTAGATATCAATCGCCACGGATATCAGCTAGCAGACACAGATCTACAAAACCTCCCAATGGAGGCGGGAAGTCCAGAATTCATTTATGGCGCCGTGGTGGCGAGATGTTAAATACCTCGCCTGGTATACAGGAGTTCATGGGTTCGATCCCAACCCTGATGCCTGTATATACGGAGTTTGCGTGTCTCTTTCCCCCGTGGTTGTGTGGATTTTTCTCCTCCGGTTTTTCCCTCCACATTTAGAATCAACATGGGATTCCAGTATTTGGCCGCTATAAAGTTCCACGTAATAAGCCAATTCACTGGGCTATCATTTGTGGCCAGGTCACTTCTAAAAAAAAATAACTAAAAGCTCAGTGGTAAAATACAAATAGTTGCAAAATAATTTTTTATTATTAATGTAAAAAGAACAAGCAATGCAGTTGTCTTTTAAACATCAAAACAATACCAATTTTCTGGATGTGAAGAAGGGTTGGAGGGCATTCACCCACCCATCACCCCACCCTTGGAACCGCCACTGTCAATCTGGGCTGGGAATCTAACTCGTATCTCCGGAGGTCAAAATGCAGCACGTGAACGACTGTGCCACCCCAAACGTGGAAGAACGTGGTCTAATTTTCCACTGTGTGCACAGCTGGTGCTTTAGTAAGGCCTGGGCTCTTCTCTATCAGTTTTCCTTCCACCCAGCCTTGCCGTTTGCAGCGAGGCGAACTCCGCCCCACTGCCAGCTCCATCTCGGGAGAGGGGAACTCCCCCACAGCGCTCAGAGAATCAGCAGAGAGTGCCAAGATGAACTAAAGTAAAACTATGTAAAACTAAAAAAAATGTATTCCTCCAGGTAAGGCCCACAGAGCCATATAGCTCTTTTTCAGAAGCGACATATGATAGCTCAACGAAGAGGCTTATAATCACGTAGAAATTTGTAGCAGCCAAATACTCTAAATGCATGTTTCTAAATTTGGAGAGAAAGACCCAGAGAAAAATCCACACGACCCACGGGGAGAGAGACATGCAAACTCCAAATATACAGGCGTCAGGGTCAGGCTCGAACCCACGACCTCCTGTATACCAGGCGAGGTCGTTAACATCTCGCCCCCGCGTCGGCAGTAGCAGGAGCACCACACGCACCTCTAGGGTGACGTTGGCGGCCGCTGCCAGGGGTGACGGGGTTCGGTCGGTCGGGCTTGCCGTCGGGGGCAGCAGGGTGAGGGTGTGGCGTCCGGAGGGCAGCGCTCTGCCCACGTCCAGCGGCACAGCCGCACGGCCGATGCACACGGCTGCGGGGACACGCGCGGGCGGCAGTGGCAGCTGTCGACGGCGGCCCTCGCGGGTACCCGCACGCACGCGCATTCCGACGAGCAAGCCGGCACGGGGGGGGGGGGGGGGGTGGGGGGGCTTGCGATTAACTTCTCAATTATCACTCGTGCTACAGAAAGCACAAATGCTATATATTTATGCAAACCGACACACCTGATGATGACCGTTTGAGTTATGGTCGAAACGTCGTGAGAATTTTTTATTGTTTTATATATATTTTGTTATTTTGTTGTTTCTCTTCAACGTGACTTTACCGAAAAAACTAAGAATATGAATTACTGCAGTCACGAAAGCTTTAAATCAAAATTTAGCGCAAATGCTGTGAAAGATTATCGTTCCCTCTACACAAGTGTGTGGTTCCAGTACTTGTATTCTGAACATTTTCATTCTCTTTGCGAGTCCAAACCACAGCAGCCTTTTAATAATGTTCTCCATCAGTAATTTTATTATTTCTCTGTTCCTCAGCCTTTGGTACGAACGATTATAGCAGCATACAATCTCTAAACTCTGCCGCACACGTAAGATTTTTTTCATTTCCCTTGTTTTTGTCGTTTTAAATCTGCGTGTTGTCATCAGAAATCCGGACACGTACCATCAACTCACGACACTTGAAAAACGCAGCTTCATCACGAGCACCTGCCCAGATTCAAACCCAGGATTCTCAGCAGAGTCACAGCTCAAAGCTCTGACCTCTGAGCCACAGGTATTTTTTTTTGTTTACAAGCAAGTCGTGCCGTACGCCGCAAAGCCAACGGACGTGGGGCACTGCAGAGGTGTCCGGCACCGGCGCGTTGCACACGCAGTGGCCGAAGGCGGCCCACTTGGGTGGGCGTACCTTCCTTTCCCTTGGAGGTGTCCAGCAGCCGCAGTCGGATTTCCCTGGAGCGCGTGTTCAGGTCACTGGGAAGAGAAGCCGGTCGGGAGTGCGCACGTGCCAGCCGTCAAACCTCACGCACGTCGATGACGATAATAATCCCTCGCATTTGTGCTACACAGCAATTGCGTAACGAAACCTCTCAGGGAGGGTAGGATGCTAGCCTTGGGGGGGGGGCTATAATGGTAGTCTTGTTCTTGCGCGGAACAAGGTGAACACAGCAGCGGCCTGCGCGTGGGCATTAGCTTGCGAGTCGTGCTGATGTTGCCACTTGTTATTCCGATTAAGTAATTTGTGAGTACAGTAATATTTAAATTTTGGCATGATGTGGACCATGCCTGCAAGCTGGACTCGTTACTGGCAGAGCAGCGGATTCTTAGTTTACGATTCTAAAGACGAGCGTCAACTGTTGTGCAGGCATTGAGCACAACGATCAGCGGGTATTCCTCTGCGAAAGGGAATCTCGACTTTGATCACTGTGTTAACACGTGTTCTTAGGTAATCAATAAATATAACAATGATTATTGACAGTCCTATGTCAAATCACCATTGGTCGTGGGAGATTGTTTGACCGTACTTCACCCCGACTGATCAGTATGGTTTGGTGGAGGCAATGGTTTGGTCTCCACCGATCATGTTAGGAGTGGCCAGGAATTAAACTCTAGGTTAATAGTGCACTACACCACTGCTCCTTCCTGATCAGATATGTTTTGTTACATTTTTATTTTTTTAAACTTCCTATTGCAAACAATGCGATGCATTAGTTTCACAATTCGTTTCTCTTTCCTGGTTTCAATTTGTATTATAATCTTCTGGCTAAGCTCTTGGCAATAAAGCAGCTAAGCTTTCTAGATTGCTTTTTTTTCTAATTTAAGCCTTTTCAAGCCCACTGAATTTTAAAATGCCTCCTACTTTAATTAAGCCTTCCACCTTCTGTGTATCTTTGCCCACTCCAAATAACAACAATAATTTGGTATATTGTTTCGACAAAAGGCAGTGTGCTTATGAATGACTGCAGTGATAATGTATTTTCAGCATTGGCTCATGTGCACAATGGTGCCATTGGTACAATCTTTCTCTGTGAGAATGACCGGATGAATAGCGACTGATAAGCCCAAGCCTAAATCAGTTTAGCCAAACCATGATTTCAGATGATGTACAATGCCCCCGTTTTCAAAGTTCACAGTGGTTGGTTCACCATGTGGTCGATGATCTGGTTGTTATTTCCACAATCTCAATTTAGGATTTCTAGAATTTCAACTTGTGAAGGTCATGGCTGGATCGGTCAGGAGTTGCGTGGATTTGATTAAATGTGGATCACTGCTTCATGTGGACCAATGTTTGAATGTGGGCCACTGTTTACGAGGTATCGCAATTGAACTCACGCTTCCACTGGTGGGGCCAGGGGACCACGCTCTGTGAACTAAAACCAGTGTTCAAGTGGAACCAGTGTTCAAGTGGAACCAGTGTTCTCGTGGAACCAGTGTTCAAGTGGAACCAGTGCTCAAGTGGAACCAGTGTTCTCGTGGAACCAGTGTTCAAGTGAAACCAGTGTTCAAGTGGAAGGAGTGTTCAAGTGGAACCAGTGCTCAAGTGGAACCAGTGCTCAAGTGGAACCAGTGTTCAAGTGGAACCAGTGTTCAAGTAGAACCAGTGTTCTCGTGGTACCCATTGAGATGTGGGTGCAACGATCGGTGTGCGTCTCTCACAAGCAGAAGCTCTGCTCCCACGAGGGGCTGGCGGCGGCGCCAGGGACCGGGCGGGTACGGTGCTGCTGGGGGGGCTCGTTCATCTCCACGTGGCAGCACAGCTCTCCAGCTCCTGCAAGCGCCGGCGAGACCACCACGCGTGGTCACTACTCGCCGCTTTGCACGGGGGCGTGGGGAAATATTACTGGACGCAGGGCCCTTCCCTCGCTGTGCACGGTCGATATTACCCAAACACAGGGGCGCACAAAGCGAGTGTGCATGTTCTCCCCGTGGTTGCGTGGATATTTTTTTTTTTTTTTATCCAGGCGAGTCCGGTTTTTCCCGACCACATTTTGAAAGATGCATTGAGATTATTTAGCTGCAATAATTTTCCACATGATCGGCCACTTTGTTGAGCTATCATTTGTGGTCAGGTCGTTTCTGAAAAATAAGTTGATACATCAGCGGACTCCGCCTGCTAAGATGGGGATGGTTTAGTTTTATTTGCATGTTTTTGGGTGATTTGTTTGCCTTTCATGAGGACGCTGTCTTTCCGACAGCTCTGTTCTTCACCTGAGGACGGCTGCTTGCGGAGTGGCCGAAACGTCGTGATAATTTTATTTTATTATGTTTTATTTTCATTATTTCCCTTCTACGTGACTTTACCGAAAGAACCAAGATGATGAATCCCTGCAGTCACGAAAGCTTTAAATTGAAATTAGTTTTTCTTTCTAGTACCTCCCACTACTATCGTGTTTTGAATCTTTATTTATACTGCAGGAATCTGATGAGCTCGACATCTTTTCACAGATGTCCAGTAGAGGTGGGTGCAAAGTATAGGAAAGTTAAGCAAATCACGAAAAAAACTAATCTATTTTATATTTAACAAGGTAAAGCCCACTGGACCTATAGCTCTTTTTCAGAAGCGACCTGGCCACAAATGAAAGCTCAACGAAGCGGCTGATCAGAAGAACTTGGGAAGAGAGATGATGGAGGAAGGGGGGGAATTCCAGAGCCGAGCAGACGTGGGAGAGAAGCAGCGGTGTGTGGCGGTTGAGCACGGTCCGGATGAGATGGACCGCTCAAGCCTCGCAGAGTTTTGCCTCCATCGTGAACGCCTGCCAGCGCTAAAACTGCCGCTGCGGGCATCTGGGAAAGAGCAGTCCCGAGGCCGCTGCGTGACAACGACAACAGAGGTGACGCTAGGCACCCTTGAGGGCGACCACCGCTCATTGCGCCAGCGTGCAGCGGACGTCCGCCCCCCTCGCCCCCCCTCGCCCCCCCCCCCCGAGTCCACCCCTGCCCGCCCGCCCGCTCCCACCTGCGGGCGCCCCCGTCGCCGACTGTATCCGCAGCAGCAGCTTCTTGTCGACGAGGCGGGGAGGTTTTGGCGGCGACGTCACCAGCCCGTCCGGCTTGACCCCACCGCCCTACGCGCACAAACGGCACAATGTAGCAGCACAGCGGCGGCAGCAGCAGCTGCTGTGCCGAGCTGCCAAGGGATTGTTTCTAGCCCCCCCCCTAACCCCGAACCTCCACCAACCCACACCGCGCCCCCCTCCCCCGCAACAGCTTATCGAGGTGGTCGTCTGCTCATTGTTAATTTCGGCCACGAAAATTCACGAGGGTATTTGTCCGTACCTCACCCAGCACTGACAGCATATGTTCCTGTTCCTGACCACCCAAATAGTAGATTGCTGCCGAGCGAATTCAAAATTCCAATTTGATCGACGAGTTAGTTGCAAAAGTGGTGTCACATGACATTTGGTGACGCCAAGTTAAAGAACAGCTAAGGCGCGTCCACTTCGTTACCAAAACGTGAATAAGCACTGACAGGTCAGTAAAAAAATAAACGATCCAAAACTCTGAAATCCAATTTGATTTTTTTAATTTAAATTCGAAACTCATCCCGGGAGTGGCATACTGCAAACACAGAACGTGGAGGTCGCGGGTGCAGACTTTGTAAGAGCTGATGGAAGGAAATTATGATCATGATGATGTCCGGTGGCATCAGCAACATTGGCCCGCGGCGAGAACTTGACCTCTAAAATACTCTCCGCGTGACGGACACCCCGCGCCACCTCATTGATTTCAACGGACGGCGCGGTTCATAAACGGACTTCGGGGACGACGGCTTGAGTGCTATTGGCAGGTTCCTACACCGAGGCTCAGCCGGGCGCTAATGCTGGTTAATGGAAGCGAGAGAGGGTGGGGAGAAACAGCGCTTCTCAGAAGAGAGCCCGGCCGAGTGGAAGCGGTCGCGGATCAATGGGTTGCGAGTACGCCGCGCGAGCACGCACAGACTCACGCGAGGACACGTCGCCCAAGGTGTTCCCACTCACACACCCGTGCGTGCGTGCGTGCATGTGCGTGTGCGTGTTTGTGTGTGCCCACACGGGTCCCCACTCCTTGCCAAGTATTTGGCAGCTTTGCTTCATCTCGCAATTTACCGCATCGCCACCGCGCGGTAGCCGTGGCGCATGCACGCTCCGCGCGATAGCTTGCGGGTCGTGGTTTTGTACCAGAATGACGCGGTTTTTGTCTAAGCTATTCCATTTAATAATTTGCATATTGTACTTGTAATTTGGTGCGTGGGTTTTTCCCCACTTCACGGCCGTTCGACAAAGACCTCCCCACGTCGTCTTGTTGGACCAGACTCTACCGTGCTGGTCAGTGCGAGGAACCGTTAAAGTATCACTCTCCGCTGGTGTTAACCGTGGGCCTGGTATCAAACTCAAAACATGTATCATGAATCAATTCACCGGGTTCACAGTACAGTGCGCTACCCGCCGCGCCAAAGCTCTGCCGAGCGTTTTATTATCATTCCACAATCCAGCAGCAATACGCATTACTCGTATCGCTTTCACGACGACCAATCCATGAGCACCCAGTGCAACGGACCCTTATCTCTGCCAGAAATCAAACTCAAATATGCGGGTCCACAATGCAGTGCGTTAAACCATCGCGCCTTTCAACCCGCACACTTTAGGTTCGATTTCTGACACCGCGCAGGGTGCGGGTTTGTCGCTCGCGCGCTGCGATTAACCACCGCACTACGTCGCCCACTGGACGAGTAATTGACGCAATAGTCGCTAAAGCGGGACGAGAAGCGTCTACCCACTTGTGCGGCACGGTAGGGGCTGAGCGTGAGCAGCACGGCCGGCTGGGCGCCCAGGATGGCGTCTTTCACCAGCTGAGTCACTGTGGGCACATCCACACTGCCACCCGCTCCCTGCACACACACATACACACAAGACAAAGATCCCCCGTAAAGCCATTGACAGAACGTGGGGGCAAGTGTTATTAGAGAGCGACTATGAAGGGCGGCAGGGCACACGACTGGGTGGGTGGCCAGCACCATACCCGGCCGCATTTGTCTCCCCAGTGGCGATATTCACACACCACACCAGGCACTTGTTTGAGGCTGAGTCGACCGAAGGGAGGCCTAGGACCGGTGCAGACAATCGTCACTGGTGTTGGCCGTGAGCGGAAATCGAACTCGCGTCGCCGGGTTCACAGCGCGCTAACCGCGACACCGCCGCTCCTCCCATACAGAGTCGCACACAGCCTAAAGGTACGAAAGGTAAAGGTACAGCCCTGCAATTACTCGCTCATGCCACGGGCTGGCAGAAGGGACCTCCATGAAAGGGACCTCCATGAAAGGGACCTCTAGAGAGCCGCTGTAGAGAGTATTTGGCCTACACTTCCATCCTGGCCAGGTGTCTTGGATGAGGTGGGAGTACACACGCTTAACTCCACCGCACGCCATCTGCTGATCGACTAACCGCGATGTGCCCACTAATATTGCTGGGTGACACCTAGGGGCATCGTCGTGGATGATAAAACCGAGAGGCGTGGAAGCACTTGGGTTTTCGTACCTCCCGCTGCCCTCTGGGAACGAGGGTGAGGCTGAGGCCCTGGGGCTTCGTCGTGTGTTTCCAGGTGAGCAGCACCTGTCCCGCACTCACCTCCTCCACCTGCAGCACCAGCTGTGAGCGCGCGGGCAGAAAAGATAGCGCCGTTCGCAAGCGATTCACCAAGGACCGCCTGACGTCAGCGTGTAAAGATCCGCTCGCTCTTGTGCTCCTGAATGCCAGCTTCACGGCAGACATTGGTAATGCTCCAGAAAAAATGCCATGAGGTATAAATATGACTTGCTAAGCTAATGCCAAAAACAATGGCATCCACACCCACTAAACAATTATTGGGGATATTTGTACGCATCATAAAGGTGTGCCGGCTTACGAGCAAACCGCCCGGAATGCGCCCAATCTTGTCAGATCTTGCAAACTCAGGAGGGGTTGAGCCTGGATCGTGCTTAGATAAGCAGCTGGCACACACGCCCGCCTGATACAGGCGCTTGCGGGGCTGTGATATCGCTGCGGGCAGCAAAGAGCCGTGCATCAAAATCGATCGTTGTGCTGTACTTCTACGCTCCCACATCTGTGCCGTCACCAGCCCTCACTGACCAGCCTGCTCAAGTGCGGTCAAATAAAGCACCTGAAACCCACACGGAGTCAGGTGGTCCTCATCCAGCAGTGGATCAACCTTCGGGCCGTAGGGGCACCGTGGTGGCGAGATGTTAACTACCTTGCTTGGTATACAGGAGGTCCTGGGTTCGATCCCAACCCTGACACCTGTGCATTTGGAGTCTGCATGTTCTCCCCATGGTCGTGTGGATTTTTTTAGGATGAGCCACTCTTCGTTTGTGCCATCACTTGTGACCAGAGCTTTACCTTGTAAAATAAAAAAAAAAATGTGCTTACGGTTGAGCAGAGGTTACACGTGCGTGAGGGTGGCTTCACCACGGTGCGCAACCCACAGACCGGCATAGGTTACCCATCGAGGCAGGCGCCACACTCATCACGGCCGGGTGTGCTTATCGGTCACATCTCCGAGCCATTCCCGATCATTATCTCGGGCAAAGCGCTGCAGAGGCAGGCCTGCACGCCAGCTGTGGGAACACCTCGCAGCCTGCTCAACTGAAAACTAAACATATTTTATTTTACCAGGTAAAGCTCGCCGAGCTACATGGCTACCTGGCCACAAACGATAGCTCAACGAAGTGGCTTACCATGTGGAAATGTATAGCAGCCAAACACTCGAAAATTCCAAGTGTGGAGGAGAAAAACCAGAGGACCCGGAGAAAATTCCACATGACCACGGGGAGAGAGACACGCAAATTGCAAATATACAGCAGCATCAGGGTCGGGATCGAACCCACAACCTCCTGTATGCCGGGTAGGGTCGTTAACATCTCACCACTGCGGCGCACTTCCTACATTCTCCATTGCGGATATTCAGACGGGCGCCGAATCGGCTGCGGGGAATTATCTGGGGCTCCCGCTCCGCCGAGGGACATTCATCTTACCGCTCTGCTCTGATCTAACTGGGAGGTTTCAAAAGGTGGCAAATGGCGCTCGCATTTGACCCCCATCGCACGCAACGTGCCAGGCCACCTCGCCCAATCACGTCCATTTTTGCTGCTGCATACATGGCAGGAAGTACGCGCGCGCACCATGGCGCCTTTCATCAATCCACTGCTGGATGAGGGCCAAATCATACTTCACCGCGCTGATCAGTGCGGGTTGAAGGTGGGTGGCATAGATGTGGGAGCATAGAAAGTAGAGTACAACAATGGACTTGGTTGCACTGCCGCCTCGTAGGAAACGTGGTGGGTACAGGATGGTTCAGATGTCTTGTGACCCCCAATTAGTTGACCCCTATTATTTTTTGTTCGCCTTTGCATTTTCATTTCTGTTTTTCATAAACCTCACCTGGACACCCGAGTCTCACCTGGACGCTGAGCGGAGCGAGGCGCGCCGTCAACGACTGCAGAGCCACGGGAGCCGGCGGGTGCTGAGAGACGCTCACTCCGAACGACACGCTCTCCGACTCCACGTCGCACACCAGCGCCTGCGGAGGGCGCAGAGGGCGGGCCGGCGTCACGGGCCGTAACTCGTTCCCGAGACCCGTTCTTAAGTCGAACGGTTCGTAAGTCGGAACACAATAATGTACCGCGTTTAAATGCCCGTGCGGTCGGTGTTAAGAAATGTGCAAGTTCGAGTTCGCGTTTTAAATCATGGAAGCTGGCTCGTTGTAAGTGCGGGTGTTTGTAAGTGAGGGTGATAGTAAGTGAGGGTGTTCGTAAGTGCGGGTGTTCGTAAGTGAGGGTGTTAGTAAGTGAGGGTGTTAGTGAGGGTGTTAGTAAGTGAGGGTAGTAGTAAGTGCGGGTGTTAGTAAGTGTGGGTGTTAGTAAGTGAGGGTGTTTGTAAGTGTGGGTGTTAGTAAGTGAGGGTGATAGTAAGTGAGGGTGTTCGTAAATGCGGGTGTTAATAAGTGAGGGTAGTAGTAAGTGCGGGTGTATGTAAGTGTGGGTGTTCGTAAGTACGGGTGTTCATAAGTTGAGAACTTTCGATTTAAAGCTTTCGTGACTGCAGGGATTCATCTTCTTGGTTCTTTCGGTAAAGTCACGTAGAAGGGAAATAATAAAATAATAAAAATAAAACGTTATAAAATAAAATTCTCATGACATTTTGGCCACAACACAAGTAGCCTTCCTCAGGGGAAGTAGTTTATATATTTTTTAATCAGTTTACTATATGGTATTCATTATATAGTGTAGTGTATACCCAGTTACTTTATGTTAATAGCTCAGCTTATTGGAGAATATATTGAGTACATTGATTATATTGATGTAGTTTATATTTAGTTCTTTCACATCGGTTTATTGTATGATGGTTGGGTAGTTGCAGTTATTGAGAGTCAATATACTAAATGCCTCTGTTGATATGTAAACTCTGACTTTAACATAGCTACTTCCGTGATCAGTTACATGCAAATCCCGGACACTATCATGCTAATCTCCCAATTACATGATCATTTCTGACTTTAACATCCTGCTAATCTATCACATTAACACAGCTACTTCAATGCTAAATTCTTCTGTTGATATGTAAACTCCTTTGTCAAGGCGCTCTGCTCCTCCCACCCAGCTTAAAATACGCTGCCAAGCTTAGCAGTGTTCATTGGAGCGCTGTCTTCCCGACAGTTCTGTTTCTTCACCTGAGGAAGGCTGCTTGTGTTGTGGCCGAAACGTCGTGATAATTTTATTTTATTATGTTTTATGTTTATTATTTTATTATTTCCCTTCTACGTGACTTTACCGAAAGAAGTCGAGAACTGTCTGTATTCTGGTTCCACATTGCCGTATTCTCCAGATTACAAGTCACACCGGAGAGTAGGAAGCACCCCATAACTTTTAGGTCATTTTGTAAAAAAAAAAAGTTTATACTGGGTTAATCTGACAGGGCAAATGTGCAGTACCATCACAAAGACTGTGAAGATGAAGGTACCCAGTACAAAATACTGCACCGACCGTGTTGTGTATGCACTGTTACAATTCCGGTAAAAGCATGTAAAGCAGAACTCATATATATGTACGTGTTTGCGTTAAATGATTCCTGTACATTGTACGCCATCGATTCACATGGTTCCTGCAGCAACTGGAGGAAGTGCCTTCTCAACAATGTAAAAAAAAAGAGAGAATGGATTCATGAAGGGAATTGTGAACCCAAGTCGTGAAAATGTACTGAATCGGGAAGAGCAGGAGTGGGGAGTGGGATCGTTACCATTGCCAGGTGTCACGAACCGCTGAATAATAATGTTGACAATTAAGGCACCCTTATTAAACAAGAGATCTCACAGTGCCATGCATGTATAGGAGGAAAATCAGTGGGAAGTCACCGGGGAGAGAAATACTGAGGGTGACAAGGTAGATAACTCGAGAGAGAGAGAGGAGGGCTTGTTAACCAGGTGGGGGGGGGGGGGTCATCAGCTGGGACTTAGAAGCCTTCATCAACGGCGAGTTCCTGACCTCAAAGGCCCAGGGAATTCCAGAGCCTGGGTGCAGGACAAACAACAAAAGCCCGGTCCACCCCAGGTTCGAATCCTGGAGCGCGGTTATGCTGAATAGGGGCGCCGCCTTGGCCGGGCCTTTAAGTCGTACGCCTCTATTTACGAAGCTGCAAATTTAGAGGAAACGCTCAACCGAAAAACAAACAGCTCTCATCTCTTGCAGATAGTGGACACACACCTAGGCTGTCTTTGCCGGGGCAGTTATAATTCAAGCTTGATGTTTTACTAACGCAATCGCTTTATACGTGTAAATACGAGGTCAATGTTACCGACAGAGCTTGGCAGTGATTTAAAAGTAATTTTATTCATCACGATCGAAACTGCAAACGCATATTGCGAACCGTGTCAACTTGTAACACGCCGCACATTAGTCGCTCACCCTCGAAGAGAGAGAACGACTCATGGGCACAGAGGAACCACAGGCAAGCGGAAAGGCAGCAGCAGCCACGCAGTGAGCCAGTGCCAAATCCCCCCCCACCCCCCCAAGCTCTGCAGCCCTCTATATATCAAGGTGTCAACGGTCAATTAATGAGTGTTATCATTAGACAACACGGGACACACACAGTTGTGGTATGCATCTACGATATATCTCTAATTTGTCTTCTTTGGTTCTTTCGGTAAAGTCACGTAGAATGACAATAAAATAATAAAATAACACAATACGATTCTCACGACGTTTGGGCCACAACGCAAGCGGCCGTCTTTAGGTGAAAGGAACAGACCTGTCGGGACGACAGAGCTTCCATTGAAGCTCTGTCGTCCCGATATTGAAGCTCTGTCGTCCCGACAGGTCTGTTCCTTTCACCTGAAGACGGCCGCTTGCATTGTGGCCGAAACGTCGCGAGAATTTAATTGTGTTATTTTATTATTTTATTCTCATTCTACGTGACTTTACCGAAAGAACCAAAGATGATGAATCCTTGCAGTCACGAAAGCTTTAAATCGAAAACCTCTAATTTGCTTTCTGGGATCGCATCTTGAAGTGATTGCTTGAACCTGTAAGCGCAATGTAATGGTACAATGCTATAAAACACGCTACAGAGCGCTGATGCATAACTCCCTGCATGTAACCCAGTGTGATATTCTCTCTAACTCGGGGGGGGGGGCAACCATTTGTGAATTTCCTAGCCTAAGGGGAGCAATGAATGCATGAATAATGCATTCTCTAACGTTAGGCCTTCAGCGATCACACCAAGATTAAAAGGAACAAAATTTAAAGCGCAAATAATTTTTACTTTGAAATTCGATCAAAACCGCTTTTTAGACCAAAGCATCTCTGCTTATGAGGAATAATAAAAAAAAATAGACATGTAGACATAATCCTTGCAGGTGTGCATAAACACTCCCAAAAACGAGGGATCCATAACACTTTGCAAAATACAACCGCTCTTTAACTACCAGATCCGAAAGTGTAATTGCAGGGGGGGGGGGGGGGGGTGGGGGAATTTTACAACCCTTAGTTCACCTCGGCTAATTGGATATAATGCACTTCATGGACATTACAGTGCTTTTAGCTCTCTTGCCAGATGGTGAGCGCCGCGGGGGAGGTGGTGCGAGCCGCCTGCATTCCCGCTTCACCACACCCCCCCCCCCCCCGTTCGTCCGCATGGCACGGCCCCAGGCTAAGGGTCAGGCTGCCGAGAGGCGGCCCGAGAGTGGAACGTGCCACTGTTATGCAGGGGGGGAATCCGAATGGAACTGGCTACGGGCAAAACGCTGGAGCCTCTAAATAACCTTGTTGTGTGCAAAACGGCAAAGCGGTAGGAGGCTTCACTGCGCTGCACCCGAACGTTCGGTGACAAACACGCAGGTGGCGGAGGACGACTGCCCTTGTGCGCGTGAAACGATGTTCCATGCACAAATCGGCTCCGCGTCCCCGGAGTATAAGAAAGGAGGTTAACGTTAACACAACGTGCGATCCATATGGAAGATTTCCCAATGACCAAGTCGCACGGAAAGCTTCTGAGTCTCATCAAATCTGAGCGTGATCGGTACATGATCCCCAGGGCTTGCCGGGTGTTGTAGGAGGTGGGCTACGGGGTGGCCAGGAGATCACGGCGCTGAGCATCATCCCATCGTACACACAGTGGGTTTCAGTCTTCCTCCCACATTCTAAACGTGAATTCAAGGATATTTCTCCCCAAGTGTGTGTTGGATTGTCCCGCGCGTTGTTCGGCACGAATTCAACGCAGTGGGTTTCTTTCTGCATTTTTTTGAAACTGCGTTTAGACCATCAACAAGCTACACACGGGAGCCAAGTTCAACTGATCAGTTGGGCGTCTTGATTCGAACGACCTCCCATGTGCCTGCCAAGGAGCACCAACGACAGTAGCAGTTTCACAGTACGGGGCCCGACAGCTGCCGATTACAATTCCTAATCGAGTGATTTGCGAGAACATTTTTCAGATTTGGCAAATTTGGAGCACGACGCCGGCACACAATGGCCTAATCGTTTCGAACGAGGTCAGATATTTAACGTCCACTGTGAACCAGGCGGTTGGGTAGCATTCTTCCTCAACACACACCGATATTCGTTGATCTTTCTGTTATTTAAAGTGGTGGCTGCTGGGTAAATATATGTGGAGTGACGGAAGCCTGCGCAGGTCAGAGAGGGAGGCGGTATCTGTATCTCACTTTGGAAGCACGGTAACTGACAAGCGCACGAGTAGGAGGGTACAGCAAGGAAAGGGGCCAAGCGCAACCGGCCCTGACAGTGTCTAAACATCGCACCTCCAGGCTTTGACATTTCTCCTCCACCAACCACATGACAACATCAACAGGCCGCCGAGCACATCTGCTTAATAAATAAATAAAGATACAAGTCACGGTCGGACGATTGCGGCCATGCAACCAAAACTATGGACCGTAGAGTAAACCACTGCAGTCTGCGCTAACCCCGAGCATCAATCTTCTATTTGCCAGGGTCAGTGTCTCCACAATACCTCAACAGAATCGCCCCTAAACGGGCACACGAGCGCAGACAAGACAGTCAGTCGCACTCGATACAGAGGCCCGGACACTCACTTTGTCTTTCTAGACGAGTGTTTACCAGCGGCTAGCGAGCACACCGGCCCTTTTCACGTATAGAGAACTTTTTACGCACCATACGTAGCCAACCGTGCTAATCGAAGGTGCATTTCAGTTCAGAGTTATGAGCAGCCGTCTTTGCAAAATTGTACTTTAGTAAGTGTAAAACATTGAATAATATGCAGTTTATTAACTTTCAAATGTGCCGGATTTGCTATTTATTTATTTTTTTCGCTGGTGGGGCCTGCCACCGCAGGCCCTGAATGACCGGGCCACCACTGGTTTCAGCACAAGGCCACTTGGATTATTTCCCATTTTGTGAATAGTTTTCTTCCTCCCCTCTTCTCCGGAGCACTCTCTCTCATTTTGGTATCTCTCGCTCTCAGGTCGCCCCTTGCGGAGGAAAGTAATTGAAAAGCCAAAATGTATTAAGGCAGTCCTTTCGATCTGTCTTGATATCGGCTTGGGTTCACCGAAAGTAAAATGAAATAAGTAAAAAAAATAAGAGGCGATAACAGTAGCAGACAAATTACATTCATCCCAGCCTGGCTGGCAGTCCCCGCTTGATAAAATCCGCGTCGGTGTTTCAGTATCCAGAGAAGACCACCATTCTCGCTGTGCACCAGGACAGTACCGCTCTCACAATGTTTTATTTTTAAAGTGTCATAAAATAGTAATAATAATAGTTAAATAATTTACGACATTGCTGCGTAGACACGAAATAACTAATCGATTTAAGTGGATGTTTACCCTCGCAGGGGAGCTGCCGCTGAAGCGCATCGGACTTGCAAGCGAGAGGTCGCCGGCTTGATTCCACCTTCCGGCGCGGCAGTCGTAAGCATGTGTTGTTGAACTTCTTCCACGCCGTACGTAGCCAACCGCGTGATTCGGAGGTGTGAAATCGGTGGTGCGGGTTTCTCAATCGCTCCCCCGCCGACTCTGGTCACCAAGCAGTATAAATGGGTTCACCGCAGGCGAGTCTATCGGGAGGCCGCGTGGTGGTGGTGGTGGTGTAAAGGGTGGGTACACGCCCACCTTTTCCAACACGTCTGGCCAACGTGGAAGGGTAGGCCAATTACCCTCTAAAGTTTGCTCGTGTGGAGGCCCTCCCGCCAGCACCGAGAAAGAAACTGCAGGGTCGCACCTTTAGCTTTACTTTGTTTTATTCCGCTCACAACGTGCGCATATGATCGTGAGTGTAAGGAGAGATTCATTTATATTTATGCAAAGTATATTTACATTATTCATGTCGGCAAGTGGAAACATGCAAATGTGCATTTTACATTTAGGCAAAATTGAGACAGCACCGGCAGAATATAGGAGACAGATCAGACGATACAAACAAAGAAACAATAATTGATATTCAAATCGACTCGTAACCCCGAATAGAAACAATTGATCACCTCATGCATGGAGGTGTTGTATATATAGGCCTTTTTCCAAACATTAATATTAACAATTCTGCCATTTGTTTAATAATAATAATCGATCAAATAAATACATAAACACCCTCAAACCCGCTACCTCCCACAAGCATCAAGCATCTTGAGGTCGTAAAAGGCCATTAAATAATAAACTCTGGGGCAAAGGGAGGTTAACGACGATCTGCAGAATCTACAGATTGCCAAAGGACCAGCATGCCATGACCTGCTGGGCACTTTGGACAGTTCACAAACAAATATCCAGACTCACAGGCACGGACACAGAGCACAGGGCAAACGGACATTATAACTGATATTTTTTTTTGTACGGAAAAAGTTTGGCTATAAGAATAAGTCGACATCATAGACTGCAGTATTCCTTATATTATTTCTTATTGTATCTTTCTATCTACGTGACTTTACCAAGAGAACCAAAGTACATGAGTTCATGCAATCACGAAAACGTAAGTCCAAACTAAGCGATATCTCAGACCTCGAGAATAAAAAGCACGGATCCCTGGATGCAGACATGGAGCAAAAAGTAATAAAACCCTTGAAATACCGGAGGTAACATCTAATGACATTACAAATCTTGGTTAAACATAAACATAGACCGATGGTAACTCAAATGAGATACAAGAAAATAGGTCAAACACGCAAGACCAGATAATATGTATTCCATGAAATCAGAGCTTCCCTGGCTGCCTTTGTCTTACAACAAATTGACACAAACACGTGGTAGCCATAAAATACGTATTAAGGGAGAGTGTCTCCCCTCCCTAATAGGAGAGACCACGAAGAGAGGGGTTGGGAATGCAAACAAAATGTGATGGTAAAACAGTAAAAGGTCAAAGGTCAAAGGGGGGGGGGGGGCAGCCAGGCCACTGCTGCCACGGGAGGAGGACGGTGACAGAGGGCATCTGTTGTTTTTTCTCTCGCAAGAGACGCGGAGAGAGGAGAGATCATTTCACATTCAAGCTCGGCAAAGGATCAGCTCTGCAAGGAAGAGTGCCGCAAAGCTCGGATGAGGACAGCAAGCCAGCTCCAGGGCATGGCCTCGAGATCAACAACGCGTGTGGTGCATCGCAGAGAAGAGGGGCGAGGTGATGCTCTGTGCTGCGTTTGGCATGGACCGACAGAGCATCGCTAAAAGTTATACTCAGCATCAAGCAATCAACCTCGAGAGAGGGCGGAGAGTGCCAAGCATCGACCAAGCCAGCATTGCAGAAAACCAGCTGCACGCGCAATCGGCACCGCCAGAGAGAGACGGAGCAAGAGAGAGCGCCACCAGCGCCACCGAGCGAGGGTGCCAGCTGCCAGCGGACAAGCATCGTGCCGACTCGGCTCATCCAGCAGGGGAAGGAGCCTGACCGGCCGCCCGTGAGCGAGAGTGTCGGCGCCAGCGAGCGCGCCGTGGGTTCGACCCACACGCACACCGAGCGGCACCGGCTGGGAACCAAGACAAGAACGAGGAACTGCAGACAGCGGACGAGCTGCGGGCGCTATCTGACGACGGATCATCGCGCACGACGGGGAGCATCGTACCGACTCTTCCACCCAGCGGTGGACAGAAACTGTGACCGCCTGTGTGAAAGAACGAGTGTCAAGCTGTCCGTATGATACACACACCCTCACAACCTCACCGCTCAGCAGGGTACAAACATTTTTGATACAAGGGATGCCCAACCTCGGCGTCTGCTTTACGCAAAGAATTGAACAAGTGGCAAAGAAGACACACAACACGCATATCGGGACAAATAAGATTGTTCCAAAAAGTTACCTTTGTATTCAAGAAGGGTTGCCATTCCAAGGTGGTGCGTTAAATATCAGCTGATCGTGAAAAGCATTGCTGCCCATCAAGTTACATGAATAGGATTGTTTAGAAGTATTTTACTCATCCGTTTTCGTTAATTGCATGATATTGTCAATGCATTAATTGATAAATACTCTTGCCTTCGGGACATGTTTCTTTATTGCCTTCGTATGAATATCGTTGCATGAATTTTTAAGGACTTTTTGTTCCTATCGCCGTGTATGCTCGCGTACTCTGAGGAATAATCGATTGTTCTGTTACCCAGTTAACAAACGTGTTCATTGAAGGTTAAATGTATGGATCAATGAGGGGAACATCTCCTGGAGTACTGTGTTGACAATTGCAAGCATAAGAGTTCGCATATTAGAGTGTTAAAGGTTTTGTTTAGAAATTAAAATTGCTTAACACAGAAGTGTCTGAGTGGTGCCTTCCGAAGTTCATGCATAATAATCTTAATAATAAGAACTGTATCCTGAGATTTGAATTGGAGACCTGACATAAACACACTAAGACATATTTAGTAAATGTTAAGCGAGAATAATTGTATTATACCGATTGATAATACAAACCTATACAACGAAGCCGAGCTTAATCTAGCATAATTACAGCGCACCTGCATAACTTCATACAATTAATTGTATGATCCCGATTGATAATACTACCCTCGTCAGTGTGGCAGGGCCTAATTATCATAACGGCGTGCATTAGCATAATCGCATCAACTATTACGACTATCTCTCTAATTAGCATAATTTATGCACATATTTACACCAATTAACGTAATTTTGGACAATTACGCATATCCCCAAATTTCATTTAATTTTCATTATTTTCATTAAATTTTCAAGACCCGGCATATACAACAAGGAAATGATGAGTCGTTAGATTAAACCAGTGGTGTATTTAATTATCTACAAATAAAAGGGCATTCAATTCAACATGGATTGCACTGTTAATCCACGCAACGATTATTTCTATTCAACCTTCTCTTCGCCACAGAAATCCAAACAATCAGAAGATGCTACACTGTGCACAAACAAAAGGCGGATTCATTTATACGATCATTCGCCGGGGTATCAGCTAACCTTGCCTTTCACAACACCCCCGAATGCCTCCAGACGAACATGATTTGCCAAATGTCGGACAGATGGCGGGATGTCAATAAGAATAATCTCTGGGTTTTACGTATGTATGTTGAACTTCTTTCGCGCAGCACGCAGCCATCCATGTTAATCGTATGGCCGCAATTGTGCGTCCTGCGACCCTGCTCATAAAAATCCCACTCGGAACAGCATCACGCAAATAGAGTATCAAGTATGGTGCGAGAAAAGTTCAGCAAACATACATGCATAGAGGACGTGTAGTTCGTGTGTCCGTGTGCAGGTGCCGAGATGGACTGTTACATGGCAGGATTGTGCTGGATTAGGCAGTGGATTGATCGTGGCTGACGACAATGTTGACGACGATGTACGTACGTACGCAGTGAGTCACGTGGCGGTACAAGACTACGATTCAGTGACTTGGAAGCAGAGTTGACGGCTCACGCTGAGACGGAGGTTGCACGATGAGCCATCCCGATGTAGGACAAGGTGCCTGTGCAAGGCAGCACACCCAAGTAGATTTCTGGCCATCTGTTTGGCGATTAAGCATTATCCTCTTATACCCGTGGGGTTTTGGCCGAGCACCCTGGGGTTTTTTTTTCCCACGGGAAATAACAACCCTCGCGAACAAGTTAATGAACATGCCAAATTGGGACACGGGTAAAAAAAACGACTCTTGAGACCCATCGAAAGTGTCCTCTCGGGTCAAACTAATGATCATTTAATATTATTATTACTATTTCGCTTGTTTACCCAGGAAAAACCCCAGCGAGTCTTAAGACTTTTTTTTCAGAAGGGTCCTGCCGAGTTTTCGCAGTAACCACTACGACTAAACTATTTTATTTTACCAGGTAACACCCACAGAGCTATTGTGGTCCTTTGACACAGGCGACCTGGCCGCACGTAATATAGCTAATCGATTCTGATTCTTATCGGCTAATATCATCATCGCATGTGGGAATTTATAGCAGTGGCCAAATATAATCTCAGCGCAAGTTGATTCTGAATGTGGAGGAGGGGAAAAAACAGGAGCCCGGAGAAAAATCCATGCGACCACGGGGAGAGAGAAGATGGAATCCCCGCCCTCCTCCATGCCAGGTGAGGGAGATAACGCAACACCCCAAATGAGTAATATGTGGGTAATTTTTTCAGAATTGGGATGTGTGGTCAATACCGTTACTCCTTCCAAATGCCCAAATCACCCTGAAAGTATACAATCTCATCAGATCTCAAAAGATAAGCTGGGTTAAAAGTTTGGGCAATAATTGGATGGGTGACCACCAGGGCCTGTCCAGGTGTTGGGGGCTGTGAGGTGGCCGGGCTGCGGCAGTGCTGGGTAACACCCCTCGTCAAACGTGTGGGAGTCGAGGTGTCACACTCTGGCTTGCCAGAAGGCGGTAACAGCAAAGATATCAACTGTTCCTTCTGTATGGAATAGAGCGTTGCCCCCTCGCACGGATGGGTTTCCTCCGGGTGCTCCGGTTTCCTTCCACACGTATAAATGCTCATTGATTGGTTGAAATCATCTCGACATACATGCGCAACCATGCGTTGTGGATTGTGCAGCTTGGTGAGACGCAGTTTGCATAAATGGCACTCTATAAAAACGCTAATTCGTCCAGTTTTCTCCCATGAGCTCATGCGAATAAAAGTCTTGAAACTCAGCGAGACGTTCCTAGGTAAATATAATAAATGTATCATCATCATCGGCCAAGATCAATCCACTGCTGGATGAAGGCCCCCCCCCAATCCGCCACCATCTCCCACATTCCTGCCATGTATCACTCCACTTGAGCACTTGCGCACATTCTTCTTCTCATTATTATTGAAGTAGCACACGCACCGCTTTAAACACAGGATATCGGTCAATCGATCATCCGATAAATCGATCGCAATACGGACCACGTGCATTGCTGCAAAGGCGCTGTCGCCGAGTTCCAGCGCCAGAAGCGCGAGCTCCCTTTCAAGCGCTGCCGCCGCCGCCGCCGCCGCGCGAGGTCAATCGTCCCCGCTAATTGCTGCTGAGTCAATCGCTTTATTGCAGGCCGCCCGCCCCAGCAGATCGCGCGCACAACGCGTGACGTCAGCGCTTACGAACGGCGAGCTCAGCAATGTTGTCTCTCTCTCTCTGGAGAGAGAGAGAGCGGAACGGCGAGCTCAGCAATGTTGTCTCTCTGGAGAGAGAGAGAGAGGGCGCCCACATGCATTACACGCACCGGCCATGCCGTGCCGTAGGGAGCGGGGGAAGGGGGGGGGTGCGAGGTGAAGGCTATTTTTCAAATGGATATCATAAAGGTGGCGATATATTTCACGTTACTAGAATCACAGTGCATAAACCGATATCGATCCACTGCTGGATGAAGGCCTGGTGCCCGTCCCTGCCCCCGCCTCCCCCCCCACCCCAACACGCCGTGCAAGTGACGCAGGTCGTTTGGTCGCACTTCACGATGCTGCATCAGTGCGAGTTGCTGAAGGGGTGAGTGGGCCCAGGACCAGACCATAAGATCAGATATCACTCACCACTGAAATTAGCCGTGGCCTGGTATCGAACTCGGGATGTCGAGAAGAGTTCATAGTGCCGCGCCGTGCTAACCACTGTGCCACCACTCCACCACCGTATTTATGTTACTATGCATTGTCAAAATACAAGTAGAGGTACCAAAAATAGATGTTTACTCTGATTACCCCCAATAAAGAAATCTCAACAAAAAATCTCATTTGGGACCCATGAATTGGTTCCTTTATAGTAATAGGTTTTTACCCTTTTATCTGGCACAAAAACTGACACCTTTATACAAGGGATCATGTTTGCAGTAACCACAACACAAGCAGTCAAAATGCAAACAAAAAGAGACAACTCTGATAATAATATGCACTGTCCTTGAAATTGATTGGTCCACACCCGAGACAGCTTTTCTTAGAGCCTAGTCTCCACTGGTGTTGGACCAGAAGACGCCAAAAGGCGTACAACTCAAAAACAGCGCACCGTCAGAGTATTGAGGGCTCGGGGTGAGCACTTACATTATGAGACCTCCTTTGCCAGAAACAAGACATAGTAATAGGTTCCTTTATCTCCCTCCAAATCCGTCCCTCGCTGTCCATCGTGTGGACTTCCGCGTTCTGAGACGTTTGTTACGCTTTCGGCGAGTTACAAATGTAAGTTGTTGTTTGTTGCTGCGGTTGTAGGAGTGTCAACACGGCAATATTGAAAAGTATATTCTTACAAAGTATATCAAAACGACGTGCGCAGCTTTTGTCGACTGTGCATTGCTGCTACTTGACATCTGTGAAAGAGCTTCATAGCTCATCGTATTCAGATTCTCCTCTGACCCTCACGTCGCCCGCCGTGTGTGGACGAGAAACCACCACAACAACAATGATTCATTTTAGTTTCACTCCGCCTAGGGTATTCCCCCGCTCCACCACAACCATTAATGATCATTGTAGTTTGCCGAAATTGTGAACTTTAACGAAAAAACTCAGCCTGCTTCCCTGATGTGTAAACCATCATCACGCGAATTCCGGTCATCCTCGCACAAAGACGGTCACCGCATCATGCGCGCTTTCGAATGCGCTTCTGCGGCTGTCTGGTAGGCTGTTCCTTCCAATATTAGGAAGCCACTTTGAACCCCCGCACCTCCCATTAGGCACAAACGGCTACGTACGGTGCTAAAGAAGTTCAACATACATAGTGAGCGCCATCACCATTTTTTTTTCATATTCAAGAACCCAAAATACAAAGTGGATTCCAAAGAGGGGGGGGGGAGGGGAGGATCAGCAGGTAAAATGTACCAAACCCAGAGCAATACACCCTCAAATTGAGGGACCATCCCCGGGGCTCACTGTCCTACCGCAGTTGGGCTAACGACCGGGAACCGCCACCATTTCTATCACCGTGAGTGGCACGCGTACATATATATGCATGTTGAACTTCTTTCGTATCAGCCAACCATGCTAATATCGAAGGTGCAGGGCAAGGGCAACAAAGGACAACAAACTAAAAACCCATCATTTACAACAAACACTTCTGCAAGCCTTGGCGTTCGGAGTCCGCGCGCGGCGTGCCTACAAAGTGCACCCGTGCTTTGTTTTTTTATATATAAGGAAACTCCTAAATAAATATACATCAACCGTAAACCACAATTTAATAACGGCAGGCCCCGAATTTGTTTTTAGAGACAGCACAAACAACGTCGACGCCTTTGTGGCTCGTATGTTTAGGAGATTTTCTTTAGAAGGGCAAATCTAAAAAGCTGTGGATAAAGAGGCAAAATAAGCAATGCTGTTTTCTGACGTGCTTAAATCTCAGCGTCAATTGTACAGCAAGAGTTCCTGACCCTGGTAACCTCACAGGAATAGCTGGCAGGAACCTGGTCGCAGTCCTCGGCTCCAATGAGCAAGTTGGGACTGAAATAAATCTACGAGCCGCCGCAGATTAAATAACGCAGTTACTCTTATTTGCTTTCGGTGTTTGCCGAGCCTGCCGGCATTTTTTGCTGTGGCTATGGGGGGTCAGGGAGCTGGAGAATCATATTCGGTGCCCGTGCATGTGCTAACCTGATGCTCACCACCTACACGGTATAAAGACAAAGATCCCTGGTATAGCCTTAACAGACTGTTGGGGGCAAGTGCTGTTAACAAGCATCTATTAAGGTAGTGGGTGACCAGCCACCACGCCCAGCCACGTTTGTCTCCTGGGTGGCAATCTTTACACACCGCATCAGGCGGAGCCCAGGACCGGTTCAGATCATCATCACTGGTGTTAGTCACGAGCAGGAATCGAACTCGGGTCGCCAGGTTCGCAGTGCAGTGCGCTAACCGCGACACTACCGCTCTCCCCATACATTCATGCCCACCTACACAGTATAGTCTCATCATCACCATCATCGCTGTCGTCACCAGCCATGATCAAATCCACTGTTTGGCTCGATGAGCGCCACCTCAATGTTTTGATTAATACATTTTTGTTTTTTTGAGAGGGGCAGGAAACATTCGGCCATCAGATGTTTTAGAAAAACAACCCACGGAGGACCAGCAGCGTATAAATCATAACATTGCAGACGTGGAGCAGCGTCTGCTACGCTGCAGACCGCCAACATTGTACGTTTCTGAATGTTTAGTTTAGTTTCGTGCTGTTTTTGTGACCGTGACTTTCACGTGCACTGCATCGCTTGGTGACGGAGTTTCAATGGGCCCTCACCTGCTTTAAATAAAGTCGATGAAGGAATAAACGCATCTGAAGAGGACACAGCTATTCAATGGGAAACAACTGCCGAGAAGCTTTCCACAGGCGCCCGTCTGTCTCACCGTTACGGTTTATATTCCACGGTCGTAACGCATTATTTATCCGCCATTCGACGTTATATAACGCGGGCGGGTCTCTAATGGCCCCACCCCCGGCTCCTGCCTGCTCCCCGTCAAAATAACACCAAGCGGCCGTGCCAAGCGGTGGCAACGGGCTTGCTGTGGCAATGAGGCGTTGGGCACGGGAGCCGGGAGATTTACAGGCATCGCGAGTGATGAAGGCAGACGAGAGACCCCCGGTGTGCTCGTGTCCACAGGCAAAAATTGTCCTGGTCTCAAACCAGCGTGAGCCCTCTCGCCTCGGTGGCACACGCTGCCAACGTGCAGCCGTTAAGAGCTCTCGAGAACTTTCTACATGAACCGGAAGTGCGTGTAATGTATTTAAGGGCAACCGTGTGCGAAACCGGTGAGGCTTGTGCCTCACGCAAAAGAAAGGGGCCCCTGGGGGTTTCATTCACAAATTTGGAACCGTTTCCGCATAAACGCTTGTATGTTTACCCCGTGTTCTGCGTTGGTTTTCCTCTGGCTTCACTCCCATAGCTTAATGAAAACAATCTGACGCCGCTATTTGGTAAAACAAGCCAGTGTTGAAAAATCACCTACAAATTACTCGATCGGGATTACACAGAGCAACACCGGACCCGATTGTGAAGACCGGACCCTCACCTGCAAAAGAGGGTCGTGGGACTCTGTGAGGCTTTCCTGGGTAACCAAGCATCATCTTCGTAGTATTAGTAATAATGTGATTGCTGCGTGATGTTCATGTTCCCGATTTTGTCCTCTTTATACATGTGTTTGACATCGTACAAATCTGCATAGTATTCCCTCGTCATACGTGAGGGATACGTTCCGGAGATGCTCGCAAAGAGCAAATATCAAGGGTAATTATGAAAACCTAGCTTTTTGATGAATTACCTTAAATAAATACATCACTTGATCTCATCACTTCATCTCATCCCTTGATTTCACTCTCTATCGATGCAGTCGTGCAGGCTTCCAGATGCCATTCGCAGAAAGGGAAAATCGTGGAAAGCAAGTTCAAGAGTAACGAGGGAATTCTGCACTGTGTATGTTGTAGACTTTAAAATGTTTGTATGCAAATCATTGCCAGTTTGCTATGTACATGCCACTTGACGACCTGGAAACCCTAGCATTACCCAGAGTGCAATATTTAAATAAATAAATTTAATTCTATCACGCAAGCAGAACACCTCATCTGCTACATTGAGAACATCAACACACTTCGGGACAACGTTCGCCAGCACAAGCCATCACGTGTAAGCATCTTTAAAAAATATGTTTGCCAAGTTGCTCAACTTTACATATTTCAACAATAGTGGACATTATCTATTTATCTTACACATGGGGCAGCATGCATTTCAATGAAGACCACAAATCCATCATTACGTCACCCACGTGCGTCTCGACTCATTCGTTTCGCGTGACATCAGCGGCATGGCTCGGCTTCTGCAGTGGAAAAACAACCTGGCACCTCCTGAGCCACGCCGGGCTGGCTTGCTTGTAATTTTCTTTTTATACATAAATACCCCCTGAAAATTACTAACCTCTGATTTTCTCAGGATAAACGCAAAGACAATGTTAGCGCCAAACTCGGGAAACTGCAGCAACACTGCTGTAAATGTTTCCCTTTTTCGCTGAGCAGAGAAAAACAAGGGGCCACTCTGCTTAATGAACAAACCTGCCTTAATTCTGTTAAGTGTTCTCTGGTTGTACCTACAGTCCAATGTTGATAAATCACTGGTGGGTAGGGATACGATCTTTATTTCCTGCACGGCAGGCTCCAAGTTATTAAGCTCAGGGCAAGCCAAGCTTATGCAGCCAACTTTCACTCTTGGAGCAGAAATGCATTTACAGCTCTTTTGCCAAATTAAACTATTAACATAGTTGAAAAAATACATCTAATTAGACTAGACACTGCCCACAGATGTGCACGGGATCCACAGCCAGGGTGGAGGGTGGGTGGGTAGAGGGGAGGCGTCATAATGTCTGCGCGACGCACGAACCGAGCTCAACGCTGTGGGATGTGGGTGACGTCATCGCACAGCCGGCCAGGAAGCCAGCGAGTAAAACTTCGTTTTACAGGGACTCCTCTACTTACGAACGAGTTAGGTTCCAGAGCTTTGTTCGTAAGTCGATTTGTTCAACTTTACTCCTGCCAATTCCAAACATGTTGTCCGGCATTTACACAAACAACACACGAAAGCTCAAAATCTCTCATTGACATGCTAATTTCTCTACCCCCCCCCCCACCTCTCGCTCTGCCCCCCTCTCTCTCTATTTAAGGCCTCGACACAGAGGCGTTGTTTCTCTGTGTGCCTATGTGTGTGTCTCTCTCTGTGTGTCTCTGTGTTATCTCTCTCTGCTCATGTGCCTGTCTGCCTGTGTGTCTCCGTGTCTGTGTTTTGTCTCTCTCTCAAATTTATCAATCTTTGGAAGAACGTAATCAACCAGGTAGGGTGTTGACTGTTATGTTAGCCGACTCTCTGTGTGTGTATTGCATTATATTTCTAAGTTTACTCGGTTTGTTTTCTCTTTCATTTGTACCTGATGATGATTGCTTGTGTTGCAATCGAAATGTCGTATGCTATTTTTTAATTCATTTTTTCTTTCTATGTGACTTTACCCAAAGAACCAAAGAGTAACAGACAATGACGGCGGCCCAGGCAGAAATTCTGGGAATGCTGGATAATGACACCGAGCAAGCAGCGCCGTCTATTGCGTGGTGGTTGAACTTACAACTCTCGGTCCATACAGGCAACTGGACATATGGACAGATTTTTTTCTTATCTCTGAAAGTTTGTAAGTCGAATGTTCATAAGTAGAGGAGTCTCCGTATAATAGATGTTCCCCCTCACTTCATGCGGGTTAAGTTTGTGCAATTTTCGCACATATATGCGCGGCTAACCGATTTGTTCCCAAAATTCGCCAAATGCAGGTTTGAATTCACTCGCGCCCTACAGGCGGCTATGCGGTCGGACGTGGGACAACGTTGTCTGTGTGTACTGTGTGCGCTACTCGGCAGGCAGCCGTCCAGTGGGGTTTCACTTCCGTGTGCCCTTTGCTTGGGACGCATCTTCCGTGTAAAGCGAGGAGGAACCTATATCGTATGAAGTCTGATGGGAAACGCTATATTGCACATTATATTTCGTACGTAAATACGTAAGCCGTGTGCAAATATGATCACTTCTGCTGTCTGCGCGACGTACCATGTTACTGTCCGATTGGCCGTCACCGTAGGTCACGTTGCTCAGCCGCAATGCATCGTGGGTCGGTCCGTCTTCCTCAAAGGCGATCTGCAGCGAGCTCTGCAACAGAAGCGACGCGAGGGAGCGGCGTTAAAATCTCGTGGCATGGCAGACGGTCATTTATATGCTCAACCCGACAGACCACAAAATCGCGAATGCGCAATGGGGCCCCGACTGAAACAGTAAACCCGTTGGTAATTTTTGCAGGCACATGGGACACCGAGGGACCAGCTTGCGCATTAGTGAGCATCGCAGGAAAAACAGCAGAAGTCTGAAAATGCTGTGCTGAAATTATGGCTCTCGGCGTTAAAGGACGTGTTTCATGTTGTGCCTGCAAACACATTTGCTTGTTTTTTTATTTGAGTCCACAGCAACAAGGATGGCGGAGCGCAGGCGCAGTGGTTAGTGTACCGTGTTCTGCGAACCCAGTGATCCGAGTTTCATACCTGGCCAGGGGGAACGTCAGTGGCGAATAAAATGTGAATTGGTCCATGCCCCCTCTAACCCTCCCCCCTAGCCCCCCCACCGTTCCCCCCCAACCCCACCCCCTTCACCAACCTGCACTGACCAATGTGGTAAAGTTTGGTTAAATAACACCGATGACTCACACGGGTTCGGGAAGCCTTCATCCAGCAGCAAGATAACACACTGCTGTAAATGATTTACCTGTTATCGTTATTCGCAGTAAGCATGAGAAACTCTTCAAAAGCATGGGAAAACATTTAAAAATGTAAATTTGCGACGTAGGAATGAATGACTTAATTCATTTACATGTTCGTATTAGTCTAAAAATCGAAACCGAAAATAAAGCAACCTCACGATCGTTACCGAGTAAAAGGGGTGGGGGACAGTGGCCCAGGCACATTGCTGGGAGCGAAGAACGATAGTTTGGCAAGTGTGGCGGCTGATAAACTGTTTGTGAATGGGATACGAATGCGCGTGGGTCGCTGGAAAGGTTCTCAAAGCTGGAGCGTACAAATTGGACAGCAAGGTGGCCAAGAGGGTAGCCACAGGCAGAAGGCCTCGCATTTAGAATCAACGTGCGTTTTAGAGTGTTTGGTTGATGTAAGCGTCCACGTTGATAAGCCACTTCGTTGAGCTATTATTTGTGGCCATCTCTTATCAAATGATGGCATGCATTTAGCAACTGCCTCTCAAAGTCCAACGAATGCTCTAAAGCCTGGAATATTTGCTAAAACCCATGATATCCATTTAAATATTGAACAGTGAACATCAGTGAACTATACCTGTAAGGAACACAACATCAAGCCGGGCCCACTCAGCAGAGTGATCAATCACGTTAAAAATCACGCCATTTAATCACTTGCAATTGCTCAATCCACATCTGAGCGATAAATTTCACAAGAATTCAATTGCCTGCATATTCAGGGTTGCAATGACCGAACGTAGTTCGCAAATGTGCGCACGTGGTGAAATGCGTCGTTGTAAATTGCCGAGCAGATTGACGCTTGAAAATCTCGTCCGTCTCTACTGGAAGCAAGCAACTGGTTGTGCAACTGCTCACAACAGGTTGCAGAGACATCCACACACAGGTGATTCAGTTGCATGCGGCCAAGTTGCGCACCTGACTGCAGCCCAGCTTTAGCCTCAACACCCTAGTGCTTTGCATCCCCTGCGGTGTTATTTTAGCCCAGAGACAACAAATACATTTCCAATGCAAGTTCTAAACTTGCTCAACACAGCTTTAACCCAGAACCAAAGTCAGTTCAGAATAAGACTACAAAGGAGGTAAAGGCGCAGAGCTGCAATTGCTTGCTCACGGCCACTGCTGGCAGAAATGCCTCCTCTAGAGACGGCCAAACAGAGCCCCTCTAGAGCGGTGTTCTTCACCAACTTTCAGAGGGGTGGCCACTTTCGACGATAAGACATCAGTGCGAGGGCCGCCACCACACCTAAAACTTTGGGGTTTGACAGCAGCACAATGATGCTGCGTGGTCTTCTCACTATTTGTGTACTGTCGGAGGCTGCACTAAAGGCCACCAGGGGCCGCCAGCGGCCCACGGGCCTTGCAATGAAGAATCCTGCTCTAGAGGGTATTCCACCTACTCTTCCATGCTGCCCCAACATTATGGAGAGGTGGGTGTACCCACAATGGGTGGACAAAGGTGGGGGGGGGGTTTAAATAACTCACACCAACGTTTATTTTTGCATGTTGGAAACTGTAACAAAGTCTCATTGGAAGGTACAGAGCAAATAAAAAATATAGCAACGTGGGAATTCAAGCCCCTTGGGTGAAGCTATCGACACGTAGCAAAGACAAGGGTCCCCCCCCCCCACCCCACGTATAGCCTCAACAAACTTTCGGGTCAAGTTCTCTTAGCAAGCAGCCCCTATGAAGGCCGGCACGATAAACGAAGGGGGAGGTGGCCACCAGCACCATGCCTGGGGTCACATCTTCCCTCGCACGTGGTCAACATCCTCACAAAATACCTCGCACGTTGGAGGAATTAAATACACCGCTATTCATAGCCTTGGACTGGATGTTCGACACAAGTGCGCTCTGCTGCGTTCAAGAAGTGCAAAAACACAATACCCACCAGCGTCAAGCGTACACGCGGGGAGCTCACGAGGATTATAATAATTAAGATAATTGCAGAGGGTCGTGTTCTCCGTCTTGTAATTGTGCTGTGAGAAGAAGCATGGTTGAATTACGGGAATCGTGCCCGTGGCTATTGCTTAAAAGCCACCAGGTAGGTAAAACCCAGTCACGAGCAACACAACAATTACGTTCATCCATCAATATAACACAGAAATATTAACTCATGATAATAATAATATCACGAGTGGCATCACGGCACAGAAATCAAATCTGTACTCGACGAGAAACACCCCCATATAACAGAATAAGTGCAGGTGGGAAAACCCAAACACCACAATGCACTAGAAATGCACAATAAAAGAGGAAATGTTACCATATAATGGCAAAATGCACTTGTTCAGGAACTGCTGGTGTTTTTTTCGCATATGCACAGTGGCTGTGTGTGACTGTTACACGTTTTAAACTTGTTTCAAACTTACGGCACAGAAACTATAAAGGAAATTATTTTTTTGTTTGTATTTATAATGGGGCCTGGAAGAGTTCGTATCGCCCCGTTTCAGATCGCGTTTCGCAAATCCGCTCTCCGGGACATTCACGGGCACTCGTTCATATCGGAGCTGGACGGAAAGAAAGAATATCGATGGCGGAGCAGACGACAAGATGTGAAGCGTGAAACGGAGTGGTTACAAGCGGCGGTGTGGTGGTTGCAGCCGGCAGGCAGCGGCGGGGGCTTGCGCCCGGCTCGGATGCCCGGCTCCGCTTGCCAGGCAGCCGCTCTCTAAAAAGCGGCAGCTGTGCACATGCCAGCTGCATTATATTAGGACCGTGCTAGAAACTCTGGATTCAAAGAGGGCACTTCTACTGCCGGCCACAGTGGCCACACACAGCAACAACACTCGCATTCTTTGTTCGCTGCTCAAGCAATAATAACCAGTCGGTGGATGAGGCGGCGGGGGGGGGGGGTCTGATGGGGGGGGGGAAACTATCGGTTGGATCGTTAACACAAACATTAGCATTGTGTTCGGTTCTGGCGTAAAGCATATCGCTTACTAAACAAACCGCAAACCGGGATGAGAAACAATGTTGTGAAGTGGGGGTTAAAATGGCTGGGTTTGCACTGTGCTGTATTTACAGAACTGGATATGAAAACCGGGCATGCTTGTTTCCACGCATGTAACTCTCTGTTACGTGCGCATTTGTACCGGAATGCATGACGGATCACTCCCAAAGCGATTCACCGCGTGCTCAGGAATCGGGGGCCGCTAACGGATTCAAGAATCCGGTCTCTTTGTTGCCTTCGGCTTTTACGGCCCCATTTGCATTTTCTCGAACTGTCCGTCGCGTTTGCACAGTTACGTCCGTCTCCTAAGAGTAAATGAAACACGAGCAACGCACTTGCACAAGGGCGCCACGGTGGCTAGGAGATGTTAACTACCTCGCCTGGTATACAGGAGGCCGTGGGTTCGATCTCGACCCTGACGCCTTCTGTATATTTCGAGTTTGCATGTTCTGCCCGTGGTCGCGTTGATTTTTCCATGGATCCTGTGGTTTTTCCCTGCGGGGTTTTGTTTATATGGCTTCTATACATTTCTGCATGATAAACCACTTCGATGAGCTATCGTTTGTGGCCAGGTCGCTTCTGAAAAAGTGCCATGTAGCTCAGCGGGCCTTACCGTGTAAGTAAAAAAAAAAATCGCTCCTACGGATCATGAACAGCCCATTCTCAAAGCACGCACTCCGATTCGCGTGCCAGCGCTAGAACCGACTGATGCATCTTTACATCGTCACATGCCCAGCATGCACACTTGGTCATGCACGTTTCCAAAAGGGGGCAAACTATGTCTTCTTCACTTTCAGACTCGTGAGCGGTACATCTCGAGTAATCCCTTCAATCAGCGCAGGAAATAGAACGCAGCAGGTGCCAACATTGCCGAAGCTCACCGACCACCACCACGCGGACCCCCGTGTCCTACGCAGCCCCCCATAAATCTTTGTGCGTCCTGAAAGAAACTGACCTAGGGCTCTTAACGCTTGGCCTTCTCCAAGGAAGTAAAGTATATCCCCGAACCCCCGCGGCAGCTGTTTGTTTTGAAAAGCGACGTTCAGATTATGTGGCTCGCAGGGTTACTTATAGTAACGGTGATGATTTAAACTTGTGACGTGGTGCGCTGCTGTGCTGGGTTCACTTGCCCTCGGAGAGAGAGAACGACTCGGGAGACGCGAGCGAGGATCCACAGACGAGCAGAGAAAGGAATCGGCCAAGCGGTGAGCCGGCGCCAAATTCATCCCCAAGCTCCGCGGTCCTCTATGTATGAAGGTGTTTCCGGCCGATGAATGAGTTTACGCAATTTCGGAGGAAACCGGAGCGCCTGGAGAAAACGCATGCGCACGAAGGGGCAGCACACACTCTTACACCTGTCAACCACTATGGCATAATCCTGTACAGGGAAATTGAGTTTTCAGGTCCACACGGCGTACAGCCATTTCTTCACGGGCAGAA